AAAACTTTAACTGAATGCTCCTTAATTTCTTGATGCATTCCTTATTGACACTCGTGTTTGTGTGTACGTACCACAGTGATCAACCATATTTCGATTATGCCTTCCATTTTGCGGCGCGAATTGACAGAGACCAAACTTAATAAAGAGAAAAGAATTTAGCTACACAATTTTGGCTTCATCCAACTGCTCTATATTGATATTGATGTGCCTGCCTTTATCAATAATTCCTACAATTTCCTTGTGAATATTTGTGTTCTTTTCTCTGCCCCGAGAATCAATCCATCATGCAGTTCATCTTCATTCTTCAACATATAAAGTCATTTGAATGTAAAGTGGTTCGCTGCCCCGCCAAAAATTACACACTTCCCAAACTCTATCTTCTTCATAATCCAAGAACTATTTTAGTAGACCAACGTAATTGTCAATGTTATTCTATTACGTTCAAAATTGATTAAAATCCCAATTGTAGTACTAACTTGTCCAATTCAGATAAGGAAAAGGTTCAATTAAATTCCAACTATCTTTACATCACTTCTACGATCTACAAATATATTGCTACCCCATTTTGGCATTGCAGCACTACCATCATCACCGCTACTGTGTGTAATTTCATTTCCGACGTTGACGGGCTCCATCGACCCTGCAGAGTGTCATATTTCTCTCTCCAGATGTTGATATGGATTCATGACCTCATTAGACCATTACGGAACTTTAAATGTAAGTAATCTCTCCCCACAATGAAAAAACATCTTTATAATCTCATTACTACTTGAATCCAACATCTAATTGGATAGCACGGTTGGGTTGGATCCTTGCCTAGCGCGGCCACGTCCTACCTTGCATTCCTCTTCATTGATGGCTCAATTTTCATTGGCCGTATCTCCGGTTTCCTCTGTTGCATACCTACTTGACGGAATTCGGTTGTCAATCTTTCCTCGTTCACCTAAAGCTGCCCGTTAACTCGGTGCGGTCGCGGGTGGAACTCAAAGTGAAGATTCGTGTCCCTAGGCACGCCCGTTTTGGTGTCGTATTGCCGTGGTACATGAATTCCCGTTCGAGCGCTGGGATGCGGAAAACAAAACGGGCACAGGGTCCTCGGCTCCTAGTTGCCCTTGAAGGCTTAAACGCTATATTTCGAACGACGTTCGGTCCTGTTCCGGTCTTGTGCCGTGCGGGCCGATGTCCATGAGGAATGCTACCTGGTTGATACTGCCAGTAGTCATATGCTTGTCTCAAAGATTAAGCCATGCATGTGTAAGTATGAACTAATTCAGACTGTGAAACTGCGAATGGCTCATTAAATCAGTTATAGTTTGTTTGATGGTATCTGCTACTCGGATAACCATAGTAATTCTAGAGCTAATACGTGCAACAAACCCCGACTTCTGGAAGAGATGCATTTATTAGATAAAAGGTCGACGCGGCTTGTCCGCTCTTTCGATGATTCATGATAACTCGACGGATCGCATAGCCTTCGTGCTGGCGATGCATCATTCAAATTTCTGCCCTATCAACTTTCGATGATAGGATAGAGGCCTACCATGATTTTGACGGGTGACGGAGAATTAGGGTTCGATTCCGGAGAGGGAGCGCGAGAAACGGCTACCACATCCAAGGAAGGCAGCAGACGCGCAAATTACCCAATCCTGACACAGGGAGGTAGTGACAAAAAATAACAATACTGGGCTCTTCGTGTCTGGTAATTGGAATGAGTACAATCTAAATCCCTTAACGAGGATCCATTGGAGGGCAAGTCTGGTGCCAGCAGCCGCGGTAATTCCAGCTCCACTAGCGTATATTTAAGTTGTTGCAGTTAAAAAGCTCGTAGTTGGACTTTGGGATGGGGCGACCGGTCCGCTTATCGGTGTGCATCGGTTGTTTTGTCCCTATTGTCGGCGATGCGCTCCTGGCCTTAATTGGCCGAGTCGTTCCTCTGACGCTGTTACTTTGAAGAAATTACAGTGTTCAAAACAAGCCTACGCTCTGGATACATTAGCATGGGATAACATTATAGGATTTCATCCCTATTTTGTTGGCCTTCGGGATCGGAGTAATGATTAACAGGGACAGTCGGGGGTATTCGTATTTCATAGTCAGAGGTGAAATTCTTGGATTTATGAAAGATGAACAACTGCAAAAGCATTTGCCAAGGATGTTTTCATTAATCAAGAATGAAAGTTGGGGACTCGAAGACGATCAGATACCGTCCTAGTCTCAACCATAAACGATACCGACTAGGGATCGGCTGATGTTGCTTTAAGGACTCCACCGGCACCTTATGAGAAATCAAAGTTTTTGGGTTCCAGGGGGGAGTGTGGTCGCAAGGCTGAAACTTAAAGGAATTGACGGAAGGGCACCACCAGGAATGGAGCCTGCGGCTTAATTTGACTCAACACGGGGAAACTTACCAGGTCCAGACATAGTAAGGATTGACAGACTGAGAGCTCTTTCTTGATTCTATGAGTGGTGGTGCATGGCCGTTCTTAGTTGGTGGAGCGATTTGTCTGGTTAATTTTGTTAACGAACGAGACCTCAGCCTGCAAACTAGCTATGCAGAGGAATCCCTTCGCAGCTAGCTTCTTAGAGGGACTACGGCCTTTTAGGCCGCGGAAGTTTGAGGCAATAACAGGTCTGTGATGCCCTTAGATGTTTTGGGCCGCACGCGCGCTACACTGATGTATTCAACGAGTCTATAGCCTTGGCCGATAGGTCCGGGTAATCTTTGAAATTTCATCGTGATGGGGATAGATCATTGCAATTGTTGGTCTTCAACGAGCAATTCCTAGTAAGCGCGAGTCATCAGCTCGCGTTGACTATGTCCCTTTGTACACACCGCCCGTCGCTCCTACCGATTGAATGGTCCGGTGAAGTGTTCGGATTGCGGCGACGTGGGCGGTCCGCCCCCGCGACGTCGCAAGAAGTCCACTGAACCTTATCATTTAGAGGAAGGAGAAGTCGTAACAAGGTTTTCGTAGGTGAACCTGCGGAAGGATCATTGTCGAATCCTACAAACGACCGCGAACACGTTTTCATAAACCCGCGGGGTGCAAAAATAACTAAAATATGTCTCTTTGAGAGTCTATGTATTATTAGTTTGTGTTGATGAACAAGCAAAATAGTTTTCTGATCAAAACTGAACTTTTCAATAGTTTTACTATTATATATCACATAAATTTTCTAGGAGATTCGATCCATTATTAGATAGTTGTAAAAGAAATGCAAATTAAGAGTTAAAAACATCAAATAATCATCAAGTCGAAAAGATAATTCAATTGCTAACTTGCTAACTAAGAATTTTAAAAGTGGAGAAACAATATCTAATTTAATGGCATGCTCACTTATACCGTATAAAAACAAAACTTGTGAAATAACTAATGCAATGCTAACAAAATTCCTATAACCCTTTAGCCTATTAATCCAATGAAGTTGGTACTATAGATTTAGTTTGCTGGTAACAATTACATCGTAACCCATGACAACAATGCGTCGTGCCTTGTGTCTGGAGATGGAAGTTTCAACAGTCTGCTTTGATCTTCTAGATTATGCGCATAAAGTCGGTTATCCCCGGATTCAACATAATAAATTGAATTAACCCTTATCTCTGGTCTTGTTATGGAGAAGGACATCCCATGAGAGCCAGACAAGAACATCACACGTTTCCCGATACTTTGGAGCTGCTCACAAGTCCTGTCGATGAAATTTAAGCGGAAAACTTTGAATCGGCTCACTTGCCTACTGAAGGAGGCTGAGTAAATTTTGAAAACGAAGAAGACTTCTTCAGTATCACATGAATCAATCAAATAATAATTAAAAGCGAAGTTCTCTCGAGGCAAGGGGTTGCTTATTTGGAAAGGTAAACCATCCTTGAGCAAGCGTTTGATTTTCACAGCTGAACGTACTACATTCACCGTGACTAAACTATAGCATGGCATCATCAAGCCGTATATTTTTCCTTCAAAAGCTATGAGCTGCATAAGGTGGCTAGTTCCTAATCTAACATTCGATTCAACAAACTTTTTGCCTCCGAACTTGCAGACGCCAATACGCCCACCTTTTTTCCCAATGATGAAGATGGAGCACTCAGGATGACCAGGGCGTTTGGAAAGCCAGATCCTCCCTACATCCATTGATTTAGGTGGTGGTGGGAGCTCAATGTTTTCAAAAGAAATAGGATTGAAAAGGTAACAAACATGTGTATCGTTGTCTTGACACGCGATCCACCCATACCTATTGTAGAGAACAATCTTGTTGCGCAACCAAGGCATATCTCTCTCATAACACTGGTTCTCCGTGACACTATAAAGATTGTGTTTTTGGAATTGGTTTCCATGAGATATCAAAAGCCACGGACAAGTTTGAGGTTTCACCGGAGGTCGATCGTGGCCTATTGAATCATCATGCTCCACCAGAGACATTTGAAAAGGAAAATATGCAATGAGAGATTAGTCAAAAAGAATTAATCCGTCGGATAGAAAGTCCAAAACAAGCTATTATATAATATATATATATATATATATATAGATATCTCTCCGCGAATGAATTGGATTTGTAGACAAGGTGGAAAACCTAATTCTGATTCTATATAGATATCTCTTCGGTTTATATGAAACGAAAAACAGATCCGAATGTTTTTTTTTTTTTTTAAGAGAAAATCCGATGTTTGATGAAAGTAGGAACTTTTTTGTACTTTTTCGGAAAACAAACATTAATCAATATGGTCAGATTTTTACACGTTTCCTTTAAATAGATGGGTTAGTTTCCTAAAACTAAAAGAATAAAGAATTGATTTTCGTAACCTATCCAGAAAAGCAGAATAGATTTTTGAATTATTTGGAACTTCCTAAACCAAACAGGTAAAAGAAATTAATTGTTCTCACCCGCATAAATAGAGGCACGGAGGTGATGTTTAGCCAATTGTTGTTATAAACAAAATAAACCAATTCGACGCACTTGAACTCCAAATCGCAATTTTATTCTGGTCCTCTGCGGTTTAAAGAATAATGAGAGAAATTGCTAAATCTCTTAACCAGGAGGCGGAGCAGAATTATTCTTGGTCCCATCTTCCGCAAAATGTCCTTTCTTTGATGTTATATTATCTCTCACCTAAAGGAAGGTGTGCATTCAAAGGCACTTGCAAATCATGGCATAATGCTGAATTGTTAATGCCGCCATCACCCAATTCACCTATCTCAACTTGTCACTACTATCCAAGCTTAATGTCTACCTTTTGCTACATGTCAAAGTATAAATTTTATCATCCCAGTAATGATGAGTTTTTCTATGCCAGTGCTCCAGGTCTAGAAGACACAAAGGTTCGGTGCGCAAGATTTGGTTGGTTATTAATGTCGCGCCCAAATCTAAGTTTGTTTTTCTATAATCCGATCACAAGGCAAAACATTGAACTCCCACATAGCAGCACTGTTTTTACAGCCATGTGCTTTACATCTCCACCGACTTGTCCAGATTGCCAAGTTTTTGGAATTTCTTATGAGCTGGAGATGGGAGTCATTAGACGTGGAGAAAAATCTTGGGAAGTGCAAGATCACATGATGGCCAATGGTATGTTAAAGGTATCTACCCACAGTCCTCTTTACTACAATGGCGCATTTTATTGTTTGGATCTTGATGGAAACGTTGCTGTCTATCATCCCCTAGATGATGAACAAACAAGATTCAAGCTTCATTATACCAATTTGTTTAAAAGGGTAGAAGGGATGCAACAAGAAGAAAGAGAGGGGATTCAACAGAGTTTTTTGTTAGAGGATAATGGAAAATTGTTAGGAGTTTTCAATCGCTGTGACCGTGGGATAACTGTTCAGTGCTTAGATCTTGCAAGCTGGGAATGGCGTCCAGTACTAGATTTGGCAAACAAGTGTTTGTTCGTGAGCCATAGTGCGTCATTTGTCATGAGTGATCCTACTACCAAAGGGATTGGTAACCGAGTGTATCTTCCCAAGTTTTACAATAGAGTTGGAGTGTTTTATTGTTTGGATGCTATGAAGTACTTCTCTATTACTCGCAACTTTTGTAGCAAAACATCATATGACTTAGACGACGGGGGAGAGTATGCAGCTTGGATTAAACCCAACTATGATGTAGTACCAGAGGCACAACTTCATTGGTAATCATACAACAATCTAGTTAATCTGTCAGTATAACTATTTGCATTCTTATTTAAATTTACAGTTTTATTCCAAGTAGTTCTGATGCAATTGTACCTTTTTATTCATAATTTTATTCCAACTTGTGTTGCAGTTTTTTGCTATTATACTCAATGGAAAGTCTAGACAGCTATACCACATATGGATTTAGTGCAACTAAACATTCGTTTTTGAGTATTAATTATTTGAATTTTTATGGCATGGTTGTCCCTATACTATGATGTTGCTACTTACTCTTCATTACTCGCTTCGATCGTACTAATGAAAAAAGAGCCCTCTTCGAACAACCAACATTCTTTCAATTGCCAAATAAATGCATGGAATCTATTTAAATCTTTAGTCAGGACCAAAATGGATTTGAAGAAAATTTAATGTATACGGTTCAGTATACTGCTAAGTAGTTCCCGCATTCAGTTCAAATCCAAGGTAAGAAAATAACAAGGCTCGCTAAAGTGCAACAATGCACCAAAGGTATAAAAGTTTCATTTGATTTTGAGCTACGCAAGAAAGTAGGTATATATACCCAAGGTTTTTAAAATCCCGACTTTAAGTCTTAAAATCTAAGATTCTAAGACTTTAATTTATTGTATCGATTCTAAGTCTATTAAAATCTTAATCTGTATTAGAATCTTAAAATTTCGGTAAATTCTTTAAAATAGTTACGATTTTACAATTCTATATGATTCTAAGAAATTCACTATTTGAGAGTTTTTGGGTCTTTTCTTATTAAATTAAATTTGTGGGGCTGAATTTTGAGCCATAAAATTTTAATTTACAGTTTCACACAATATAAAAATCACAAATTACTGATGAAATAAAAAAAATTAACTACAAATCTACAATACCCTTCACTTTTAGTCTTTCACGGATTCATTTACTTCCATCGAGAAAAAAAAAAAACACCATTTCCTCCTCTGAAAAATTGCCTTTCTATGATTGGGGATCCCGTGATATTGATGAGGGTGTATCTACTCATGACGAAAATCTTGCGGGATAGAACAAAAGCTTCAATGATTATGGTGATGATGATCATATTGATGATGATGATGAATAATTTGGTTTTAAAATTCTTGTTGATTTCGAATATGGTTTTTTTTTATTTTAGTTCTTTTAGAATGTGCTTTGACGTTGGATTTTTAGGAGACAATGACAAAAGTTGTACTTATATGTTTTAATTAAACTATTAGAATTTGAAATGTGCATTTACTTTTGATTTGAAACATTTGATTTTGTGTATTTGTTTATCAAGTTGTAACTGCTGATGCGAGTATTACCTAAATTTAAGTAACTGTATATGAAAAGGCATAAATGTAAAATGAAAGCAATTTTTAAATTACATAGGTAATCTCTATCATAATAACTACTACCCAAATAAATTTAACAACTTTTTTAAGAATCTTACGATTCTAAGTTACGTAACCCAAAAAGATTCTAGTTAGAATCCCGACTTCAAACCTTGTATATACCAGTTATAAGTTATGTGACATCTGCAGCAATGCAAAGAGCTCTGAAAGATTTTGCTTAGCTGGTTCCTGAAACCGAAGCTTATGAAGACAATCTAGTCCCCCTTTATGGTTTCCAAAGATGAAATCTGGTAAGCCTTCTTGATGGAAAGGAACTGATGAAGACAACTAGAACCTTTGTCTTCTGGATGGAAAGGAGGTAATGAAGACTAATAGATCAGTTTTACGGCACCTTCTGCTCTACCAGACTTGCAATGTATGGAGCATAATGTTGTTGATAATGAAGAAAATTGAACTGGGACGGAAAGTGTTATATATAAGGTCTGAGGAGGGGAGTTTTGAACATTCGAAGTTTAGAGTTAACAACTAACGAGACCGTCTTTGAGTTTCTGCCATGGATCAATTTATCAGTGTATTTTCTGCAGATCACAACTAAATTAGCAAGGGATTGTCATTACAATGTCAGATTTCTGAAAAATATTCATATAATCAACTCACATTACAATGTCAATTAGAAGAGTTTAACAAGAATAAAATAATATCACCATAAAACAATGTAGTAACAAGTAAATGAACAGAGATCAATACGAAATCAATAAGAAAATCTCAGTTCTTCAACTGAATAACAGAATTTTTTTTTCTTCCATTGCTTTAGCCACAACGAGCTAGCAGAGCACCTCGGATTGACCAAAAACTCCTTCTGGATTGCCCAGTGATAGTTATCCGTTCCACAGTCCCAAGAAACTTCAACATGTGTTAATGATGGATCAAGTTCTGTTGAGCGCGAAGCTCCCAACTGCATGGCCAATTTCCAAAAGTGCTGCTTTTCAACCAGAGAATCAACAGGAGAAATTTCCTTTCTAACATTTTGCAACAGCTTACAGCTGTTATGATGATAAACAATCCTATATATATCAACTAGCGAAAACACCGTATACTTGTCAAACAATAAACTAGAAAATGTGCAGCACTGAACAAAACATTTAATTTCCAAACTGAATCAAGTACTTGTCAAACAAACATCAATCAGCCAAAATGAACCGTAGTCCAGTAGCATAGGCTAAACATAAGGGGCCATTTTCGACTATCACAGTATTTATCTTTTAACCCCTGAAATGTTATCATATAGCCACCGACGCAATGAAAATTGATCCATTGCACCATCTACTGTCTTATATTTGTAGGTAACCAGACTCATGACTGTCTAATAACAGAATCTCACTAGTCTACTTAACCTTGAAGACGCCCACAATACATTATAAAGACACCAGAAAATGAATTACTCCGGCAGATGCCCACTTGCAATGAGAGAAGAGGAGTCGGGGAAAAGTTCAAGACAAATAAAGTTTCAAGAGATCTCTTCAAACAAATTTGAAAATTAGAATATCTGTTTCTATAAGAGACTCTCCGCGTGGTCCTGTCAGACAACTGACAGGAACAATTGTACTATATCAAATGTTAGCCATAGAAAACTAGGTGTGCAGTATCATAAAATGTACTATGAATCTCCCAATGAACTCTGAGCAACTGTAGTAAGAGTTCCTGTAGCCTCAGTTTCAGTCATTCTCAGTTTTGAAAGTGATGGATGGGGATTCAAATTGTCGACACTTGAATCTAAGATATGGTATTTCCATAATATTAGAATTTTGGGGTGCGCTTCCCATACCCATATTAAAAAAAAAACTGCTTCAGTTTGGAAATATTTTTAGGCGTACAAACTTCTCAAAGTAAAGCTTTTATCAAATAAATGTTGTGGTTATGCTTTCCATTCATATCTTAGAGCAATTACAGAGCTTCAGTGCATTGAGCAATAACCGCAATATAGTTCCACTTACTTCTGGCGAAATAACCCCTTAAATTGGCCAGCAAACTAGTCAGCTTGGGAATGCACCAAAGACTGGAAAGCGAAACTTGAAGACATTATCACTCATCTAACAAAAAAAAAAAAACTCATAACAAACTTTTAAGAGTAGACGGAAAAACACATAAAGCAATAGTTCACAGATATATCACCAATAAAATCATGCAGTTATCTGTGAATTTGATTGAAAAATTGGAGCAAGCTACACCTGAAATATGGTTAAGTTCACATAATTCTACTCCATATGAGAGGAAAAGAGAGCTCCAACATTATAAGAAAAACTATAAATTGAAGGAGTCAGACTGCCAACATCTCAATGTAATAAAAGTCAAAGAAGACAACAAAAGACACCGTCCAAATATTTAACAAGCACCTCTGTGAGCTATGACATTTGCAATTACAAGCACTCTAAAAGTGAAATACACATCTTCAAGGCCCCAGCAACTATGACATTTCCAATGCTTGAATGATCACCATTGTGAATATGTGCATCTCTAATATTGCGCTTGCTTATGGTTCAATAGCCTCAACTTACTCATCATTCGAATGGACTCTAGTATATGGAAAAAAGATTCCCCCTTTCATTTACTGAATTCACACATCTAAATACTAATAATAGTAACAACTAAAAGAGGAGATCAGAGAACAAGTTACAGCTTTGTAATCAATTGTGTCATTAGAATTTCAAAAAATTGGAGTTTAGGGAGGATGCAAGTAGTTTTAGAATACTAAAATGGTAAACACTATGAAAATAATCTTACTGTATATATCAACACTCATTGCCTATTTGAGTAATAGTTTTACCAGTATTTTAGGGCAAGCAAACCAAGTACTTGAGTTACATGGATGTCTAAATACAATCTCTCATTAGGAAAAAGTTATAAATCCCATATCAGGTCAGCTCTACAAACACTTCACAGAAAAGAGAACGAAAGTGCGAAACTAAAACTAGAAATATAAATGAAAACAGTAAAACAATAGCTTTCTTCAGCCAAGGCTGGAAAAAACAATTATACAGTTCCATAACAATAATAATCCTTTTCCCTGTCGTGCAAACTCCAATTCATCTTTTTTTTCATTTTTTTTTTTTAAACGAGACCAGTATTCTCAAGTTTGCTCACTGAACATCCTTAATGGTTACGATACCACATAATGGAGTGGCCATAAAAAAGTAACTTGAATACAAGACCGTAAAAACAATACTGCCACCAAAGTCTTTATCCCATTTTGCCACAATGTTGCCATAGTTTTGTATCAAAATATTATTTAATAGTAAGTTTCGGTTTATGTGCTTTTTGGTAGTACAGTACATTCTAAGTCTTTCTAACTGTAAGCTTTAAACTTTGAGAAGAGATTGCCTATTCACTACACATTGTACCAGCCCCTCTAAAGTCTCTAATGCATGCTTCTCTCATTTTCTCATGTCATTTTACTCACTCAAAGCATTCATTTCATAGCCCAGCATGCCCCACATCCATCTCAACATTTTCGTTTTGGTTTACTTCACTTTTAGTTCACCTGACACTCTTGCCCAAGTATAATCCCACTCTATACTTTATTAAATCAACAAATATAAAAAGTGCACCTCTCCGTTTCCTCAAACCTACATGAATATTATTAGCTACATTTTTACCAATTTCCCCATTCTGCGGGGGAGAGATCCTGAACATTTTGAACTTCCTTATGAGTTAATTATAACATTCCCAAGATAATGCATTACTAATGATACCCAATCGTTACTCCTCAAAATTATAGAAGTGACAGTCTATAAATTCAATTCTAACAATATGTATTGTAAAACGTCGAAGTATGCTTTTTTGGAACTGCC